AATGAGTTTTTGTTCTATTTGAACCAGAAAAAAAGGCGTGTGTTAGCGCGGCGAAGCAGTTGTGTAAATTGTGCAACATTTGCAAGAAGAATTGGCCAACAGTATTCACTTAAAAAGGCCACACAACCACACACATATCATTTCCGCTCAATTCATTCTTTAGAAGTACAGAAGTCAGAAAAAGACCTCGTTTCATCATGCTGCCACGCCTCGAGGAAAATAGCCAGCTATAGGTTTGGCGTTGCTTGTCGATTCAACATCCATAGAAAAACCATTGGTACTTACTTCAGCAAAACAATCAAATTATAGACCGTCCTCGTAGTGGCTGCCCACCATCACGCCAAAATCGATCGAAAGTTTGCACCTCCGACACAAGTTCCACCCACCAACCCTTACAGCTCATACCTGCTACCAGAGGTGTATCTGCATGCAAGACGAACATTCTCGAAGGCTGATTCTGACACCAGAGCTACGACGTCGACGTCTCCTGTAGAGCAGACCACACATCGCCCTAGTTGTACAGCAATATCCTCTTCAGAACAATGTTAATGTGTTATCCTTGCCTTTAAGATATCCTGACTTGACACCCATTGAGCATGTATGAGATGAGTTGGAGAGATGTTTACGACGTCATCCGAATCTTCAATCAGCGCGGCGCTAACTCTGACATATCCTACCTCGGATATGGAATGATCTTCCCCAGGCCTTTTATAGACGTTACCTGGTCTCAATGAGGCGAATGTGCCAGATCTGCATCGATGCACAAGTTTGGCATATGCGCTCCTAAACATGCTTGTGAACCCCTCTTGTGTTGTGGTTTATTTGTATATTCCAGGTCCGCTGTTTTCATGGGCTAGTGATCGGTGTAACACTGATTCTGTTTGTGTGTCCCAAAAGCGTTTTCCTCTGAGTATAGACTAGGATAAGTGTGTGAATAGAATTCTTCTGTAATGTAGATGATAGTGCACCCGCTTTTCCCCTGTACAATATTCTCTATGGGTCAGCAATAATGATAACCTCTCAATATTCGAGGTATTTGTATCACTCATTTCTGTTCAATAGCGTATCTGTGGAACCAATTGCATCACTACTTTATTTATTTGTATTTCTGTAATTCTCTGTAAGAAACCACATTTGTGTTTACCGTCACGTTTATCAATAGTGCTCCATTCATGGCTCTGTAACAAGATTTGCTTCAATTTGTGATATGTATGTCCATGTCTTATATGTTTCTGTTATAAAAAAAAATTCTCTTAAACTACCCGTGCTGCATTTACATTATCCAAGATGTATGCTTTTGAAACGCATAGATTTGTTTAATAAAATGTTTCAATACAAACACTATTCCTCATCTATTGACTCCCAGTGGTTCACCTGCTGAATGGAACAATCAGCATTACGTTCTCCACGTCGACGCCGGACTCTGATTCTTCCATCCGCATGTCTGAGATGAAACACCTCCCCACCGTCTAAGGATCCAACGCCGAAATGTCTTGCACGATGTTACACATTATTGTCGGTGTCTCTGGGGCAGTATAATATGGAGTCGACGTGTACGCAGCTCTAGTTGATGTAATAAACTTTGTGCCGAAATGTGCGCATGCACAAGTTTGTATGGACATGAAAATAGCAGGACTTCCGTTTCAAGAACACAGCGATAGAAACCTAACGTGTACATACGGGTATGGTTTGTCTTAGTGTTGCGGTTTGATCGCCATTTTGATTTTTTCATCGTTCTATAATATCAATGGCAAGCATATCAAACCACTGAACCAAATGCCGTAATGGAGATACACTGTTTCAATGTGGACAGAAGAGAGTTCTATGAGTGTAAATATTTTCTTATGGATTTGTCTCTTGGATTCTACCAGCGTGTGACGATCACCATTATGGGTTTTTTCGATTTATGGATTCTGTTTCGTTTTTTTTGCTGAATCAATCGACAATGGAATTACAATATATACGGATTCTGTTTCTTTTTTTTTGCTTACCCATTAACGGTATAATGGTTTACAACAATGATATCCGAATTGACATAAATTACCGGAATCGATTTAAGAAGTAAGGCGACATCATGTGTCGATGGTTGAAGATACTACTTCGAGCAACTCACACTAGTTTTGACGTCAACGTGTTGACATCTGAAGATGTTTACACCTTAATGACAATAACAATGTAAACGCACAGGTCGAAACTATTCTACTCAGTTATATTGATTTCAACATTGTTCCAGCACTTAACAGGAAAGTATTTGTTTCGGATGAGGAATTGAATGCTGACAAACATACTATTTACATTATTGACAACTACAATGATTCTCCACGTGTCCAATCACTGTAAAGGGCACCGTTTCAGTGTTCAGCCTCCGTCACTGCACAGGCCATTAAATTTGTGTATAATATATACTTAAAATTTCTATAAGCCCATTTCTGGTGTACCCTAATGTGATATTGCTCGAATATTGCTCAAAGCCACTTAAAGCCATAGTCACAAACACATTTACCAAGCACTTAATGCCACCCATATCACAATATATTAGCAATATAAATTTACAATGCCTGATTCGTTAGAAAGGAGTTGTAAGATAAATATAACATCGCACTATTTAGGGTCGAATAGATTCAAATTTCATATTTTCTCATTGTAGTGGCGCCATAATACACAACACGGCATTTTAAAGAGAATTATATTTGTTAACTGATCTGTATATAGATAAATATTTTATGATTGGAAGTTTGAATTAGTAACTCAGATTGTGAGTGGCTGTATCCCCCAGGGGGGGTTGGGGGTAAAGTACTGTAAAATTATTGTCCTCCTGCTAGGGTACGTAAGTCCAAAAACAGTAAATCTAAACTCTCCACTTTTTAATCGTAGTATATGTGTCTTTTTAATGTCTTGCTAGATTTGTCTAAATTGCTAAAGGCTGAAGGATGGTGTAAATCCAGCTAGGGCCCCATGCAGGAAGCAAATGTACTGTAAGTCCCCATGGTCCCTAGTACGGTGATCTACCTTCAGTTGTTGGCAATCTATAGCCTGTTTATATTGTATTGTCCACATAGGTCCTCCTGAGAGGGTACATAAGTCCCAAAACTTTCAAAGTTAAATGTAAATTTACCATATTTTAAACGTAGTATCTTTGTTCTTTTAACTGCCGGCTACATTTTCCTTCAATCACCAGCGGCTGAAGGGATGGTGTAAATCCAGCTAGGGTCCATGCAGGTAGCAAAAGTAATGTAAGTCCCCATGGTTCCTAGTATGGTGATCTACCTTCAGTTGTTGGCGATCTATAGCCCGTTTTTATATTGTATTGTCTTCGTAAATAAAATAGTTTTACATGTTCATGCTAGTTTGAGACTCCATCTGTGATACTCTAGTTATTTTACAGTCCTTCGATGACTGATTATTTAGCAACTTTAATTTATTGTTTATGTAAAACATTTCTCGTCACTATATGGCTAAAATATTGCCGAGGTGACGTTAAATTCTAACTCACTCACTCACTCACTCACTAGTATGGTGATCTACCTTCAGTTGTTGGCGATCTATAGCCCGTGTTTTATACTGTATTGTCCTCTTTAATTGAAATGTTTTAGCTTACCTCGCTAGTTTTATTCATATCTGTGATTCTCTAGTATTTTTACTGTCCATCGTCGACATGTTTTAATCTTCAAACTACATTGTATTTCACTTTAAATTGTTTTCGTCACGATATGGCTGAGATATTGCCGATGTGACGTTAAATATTAACTCACTCACTCACTATTGTCCACATAGTGCTATTACTTTTAACTTTCCACACTAGTTTTAACTGTAATTGTGATATACTAGTTGTTTTACTGTCCTTTGACGACAGGTTTTTATAATATACACATATTTCCATTTCAATGTCAAACGTTCACGTCACGATATGGCTCAAATATTGCCGATGTGACGTTAAATATTAACTCACTCACTCACTCACAACACGACGTTTATGAATGAGTGACGTCCCTCGGGTCCCTAGTCACTCCTCAAGGTGACCCTCCACCAAAACGTTTCTGCCACATGTGTGACTCATGAAGTTGATAACGATGATGCAAACTAGACAAGATTAAAGAGTATTCATTACACGTTCTACAACGAGGATGTTGCAACATAGATATAGATCTTCTTCGCTACAGCCTTTTTGTTTTCCTTGAGGAAAAGTTTATTCAAGAAACACATGGGTACAATGTGTGAAGCCCATTTCTGGTGTCCCCCGCCGTGATGTTGCTGGAATATTGCTAAAAGCGGCGTAAAACCAAACTCAGTCAGTCAGTCAGTTATTCAAGAAAGCTGTCCGTCATTTTCTGATCACGGGCTGGGAAACTGATCTGTCACATATGTTTGATGCCAGTTTTCTCACCCACGGGTGTGTAAGAATATACCATATCCGATTCAAAGCAGAACATTTCAAATCCTATGACTTAAAACACTGAGTTACCCTCAACGACTGCACAATACTGAAATATGAATTTCAATAAGGAACATGCAAGTGAATGACCAATAACAGTGGTAGCAAGGGAAAGAGATCTGACAATCATCTTGTCGTGTATGACCTTCTTAATGTAAAGAAACACTCATCACATCAGTGAATATAATCAATTTTTCATTGTTCTATTTCCATTCCATGCCGACTGGCAGACGGATACGCCAACAAGTGGGACGCAGACATTTTTTAGTCTTTTAAATACTTGTGATAGCCTATGTCAGAATTTTAGTAATCTTACTGATATACAAAAAACTGCTTTTATCCTGTCCAATAGCAATATCTGTTTTATAGCTGCCAAAACCTGCCATGTTGTTTTAAAAAGGAGAAAATCCGTATTATATAACTTTTAATTATTGTTATTCATAATACATGTACCCTTCGTGAAAACACGATGTACCAAGCCTGTCGGCGATCGCGATTTGTGTATGTGGGAATCAAATACATTTGCTGTCATATACTCCTGAGCATGGTGAAGTTAACAAATACATGTATGCCTGATCTTCATTATGGAAAACACCTCGTTGGATCAACCTTTAAGATCATTGAGAAATCCAATCTATTTTCCTGTGCGGCTGAATGTGTTTCCTATGGAATATGCAAATCTTTCAATTTGGAATTAGACCGGAGGGTGTGTCATCTGAATGGTTTAGATGACGTCCAATATTTGGAAGGAGGAGGAAACGATCTGAATTTCATTTACAGTTCAATTGAAAGTTGGAACAAGGTACTATTACGATTAAAATACTTTTCACTCATGACAGTATCCATATATAAACTCAACTGTTAAATGCTATGCAGTAACGAATCATTGGCAGTTTGTCGGCGTTTCCCTTATCACGTTTTGTCACTAAATAATGATCATATATTGTGGCGTACTTTTTCGTGTTCACACAGAAAAGCAGCAATTGTGATCAGTTATAATAACACAGACTAAGACAAATTGATCTGAATGATTTAAATAAATTCAGTGATTGAGCAAATGGTTCACTCCAAAATAGAACGATTCATAATTTCGTGTTCATATTTTTACGGCTGTGTCTGTGTCATAATTTATGAGGTGAAATTGGGTTTAACGTCGTGCTTGAGAATATTTCGCTCATATGACGACGTGCATGCATGTGTATGTCTACGTGTGGCTGCTTGTACTAGCCCAGACTTAAGCTGGTTTTATAGTGCTATCCACTGAGATACCATGCCGCAGTGAAGCATGAATACCCCACTCAGACACATTATACTGACTCCGAGCCAACCAGTTCTTGTTGTACCCATTAATGCCGAGCGTCAGGCAGGGACCAACAAGTACCATATTTTAACTTTTGGTATCATGCTGGGAGGGGGGGGGAGGTCGACCACTACACCACGGAGGTTCTAGAGGTTCTAACCACTACACCACGGAGGCTGTCTGTTATAATTTATTTTGATTTTGTTAAACGTTACAGACAGCTCTTGGTCCTTGTGATGAGAACGCATGCAGATACACACAGAGATGCAATATCAAGAGAAATGGCATCGTGCTTTGTGGTACGTACAGTGTAAGAGCAATGAACTTATTCACATGAGTGAATGAGTGAGTTAAAATTTGACGTCGCATTGTTTCAGCCATATAGCGACGAGACCAGGTTTACACGTATACCCAAATTTAAATCACATATAGTTACAATAAAAAACAAGTTTTCATGTACACAATTCAACATCACAATATTTCTATTTACAATTTAGTACACGGGCTGTAACAATATTATTTACAATTTAATATTGGGCTTTAACAATACGACTTATACAATACGGGCCGTAAGGTCAAAATTTATAAACAAGTAATATTAATGCACAAACATACATTCATAGTTTATGGTATAGATCAATTTTTTTTCAAGTAATTAATTATAAGATGACAGCTTTCACGAGTAAACAGATATTTCAGGCTTACTGCTTGATAATGTGAATCCCTTGATAATGTGAATCCCTTGAAATTGCAAAGTCCACACAGTCAAGCAAAATATGCAGGACGGTGAGCCTTTCATCACAAGGGATACACACAGGTTCATGTACATGTATGGTGTTGTTGAAACAGATAGCTACTTTTAGATTCAGAATTCAAATTTATCTTCCTTAAAAACTGTGATAGTTTTGTTCTCACGAGGCAGTAATATCATTGATATCAAAATTAATACAGTGTAACTCCTTTTGACAAGTTCTTCAGGTTTATGACCTTAACAAAGAAGGGTCACTCGAACAATGACCTCTGTTTTTAATGTTGTGCTTATATGTTCAATTTTACTAACATTTATATCTAACTAAAAGAAGTTATTATTTTCTTGAAGGCAAGAAATCTTCACAGTAAAACTGGTTCCAACTTTATGGTTGTCAAGGAGTAAAAGTTTGGTACCTGCTTTAGTCATTATCATGACACGTCTCATGTGTCGAATCAGATTTACAGTTATTTCGAAGTCCTTTGCCTGTCCAAAACATGTACTTCTATAGTATAAGGCGTCAAAGGCCTATAAGACGCCAGTTACAATGAGTCTCATGTAATTCCTCACATTTGGAAGAAATCATGTTACTGACACGTCTTTATCTGAAGATTGCAAACTAAGAAATGAACAAAGGATATCGATTTACGTTTTATAGCCTTTTGTGTTATTGTTTTTTCTAGAATGATGGATAAATTTTGGACTACATCAAAACAACAAGTAACACTAGATGTATAGAATAGAAGTCACTCTGTAGCACCTACTTATCCTGTTTTAAACTTAGATATCTTTACTCAAACATTTGTACGACCTGCATGTATAACCTCAAACTACTTCATGGATTCTTATAAAACACTCGGGGACAGTTGCTATACTAATAGAAGAAGTTCTGTATAAAGTTTGATTTTTTATACGTCTATTTTCTGAAAAGAATATCTTTTACATAGAATATATTTTTTCTAACTTCAACATTTATGCGACCTACAACTTGAAAACTATATCTTGGATCCACAGTTTGTATACCGAGTTTGATTTCGATACTTAAATTTTCTTTTAGAATGGTGGCCTACTTTGGTTGCTGGCGATCTATAGACCATTTTTATGATGTACTGTTATTAGTAGTGGTATTTAAAGGTTAGATGCTAGTTTTAAGTTTTATGTCTGTGATACTCTGGTTATTATTTTGTCCTTTGACGCCAGATTTTATATACTATAATGTATATTTTCTTAATGTAAACTAATGTTACAGTCACAATATGGCTGAAATATTGCCGACGTCACTTTTAAATGACTCACTCACTCATTCTTTAAATTATTGCTTTTGAACTTGCAAATGTTTTAATATCTACCGGAAAGGGCAGGTTTATATTCATATACCAAGGATAGCCGTAAAGAACTTGAATCGTCTGGCAAATCAATTCTTATTAGTGGACAGTTCAACAGTGATCCATGAACTAGAACGGTTACCATCTTTCACTAAATACAACTACAAGTAAGTGTCATGGAAGAATTCGAGACCATTTTTAGGGCACTTCAGTGATGTATTGCAGAATACATTCTGTTTCTCATGAGATATTCACAATTTTCGTCTGATACACTGAAATGACACCATTCAATTATTCAAGAAAACTGCCATCCCATCCTTAAATGTGACTGGAACACCTCAATGACAACCTTCTCTACAGTTTCTGAGAATTATTCAGTGAATTATGTCAGATTTATGAGAAACACTCATCTGATACAGCATTCTTATCATTGGTAACCCTCAACCATAGCTACGTAGCATAAGCACTCTTCGGAATGACAGGGATGAAAAATATTAATCAACATCTACATTGTTTAATGGCGTCTTAACTATGGTATATTATTGCCCTTTGTTAGAGAAACCAGCTCAAACGTTCAGACATCAGTAATACATCCCCAATATATTATAAATGTTTTCAGTTGTCATCCAGGTCGGCGTTTCTTGTTCGTTTTGTTCGGGGTCGGAGTTTCTTGTTTGTTTTGTTGACCTTTTGTCTTGTTTGTTAAAACATTTCGGAAGTATATTCGATTTTAAGCTTTAAAGAAAGCAATTTCAAGACAAAAACGAATCACAAACCAGAGCATTAATCTAGCACCATCCACTTATTAAATGATAACGAAAACACAACACGTTGTCGTATATGCTTTGCAAGTCTAATCACGAGTATTAAAATAGTTGCTGTAACATTTACGCTGATTAAAACAAAAGCAAATCTGAAACTGAAATGTGGTAACAATTTACATGCAATCTGAGTGGAATACACAAAAACGTGTATATGAACAAAGCCACGACTGAGCCACCAATCTGTTTGTCACACAGTTCACATATGATGAATGTTGTGATTGTATGCTCTACAAATGGCGACCACTTCAGTACATGGTGTAGCCACTTTACGTATAGATAAGATCTGCCAGTCTCCTGCTCATACTGGCAAGCTTCGAATTGTCAGTTTCATTGAGTGAGTGCCTCAGTTAATGCAGAGTTTGAACAGAGGGATCTCTGGATCAAATTTCCCAGATAGTCCAATGATTTCGATGGGGTCATACCGGGGACATACCGGGGCTATTCCGGGCCATGGTGATATTTTGTTGGGTTGTTCTGCAAATGGAAGATGGCAAGTCTAGAGTTGTCATCCATGAATATCAGACGACTGGTTATTAAATTGTGGCATGATGGTGTGAAAATTAATGAATGGATCACCGATAATTAGTGATGAAGCGAGGTGTTCGCGAAAAGGAGCCCAGTTTCTGTCTTACCGGTAGCACGTCCACACATAAAACAACAAAAAAGTACAAGTACAAGACGTTTATTCTGTATCAGAGGCCAATAGCACAATACCCAAGAACATACTTATCCACAAAGACAGGAGAGACATACATTTTGCATGAAGAATCAGTCTCTCCTTGTTCAGTTGTAACATTATAATGTCCAGTAATATTGTCCATAACAGAAGTTTGTTGATTACAGCTGAATTTCTGCCTAATATTGCCAAGAGTAAGCCAACAAAAGCAAGTTCTGTTGCATTCCACCAGCCAAGTGTAACGGTGGACGGGGATATGTCAGCCAAGTGGTCTTCTAAATCCTGTTTTCATGTCGACTACAATGATTCATCTCCATGGTGGCAGGTGAACCTGCTGGACACATATGTCATCGTAGAAGTTCGCGTCACTAGCAGAGCAGACTGTTGTAGTAAGTATTTCCTTCTCGTTTTACGATAGTTTTCACATCAGATCCCCAGTATCTCTTAACATTGATGATACTTCGAAGCGTAATTTTCGGTGAGGCCTTTACAACTATATTGTTCACAATTAGTTTAATTTCACAAAGGCGTTTACCCAAAAATATTTTCCGATTTTGTTCTGAATGTCTTGTCTGATCTTCTGTTTTTCACTGTTACTAAATACATCATTTATAATATTCACTCTTAGCCGAATAAACTATTAAAAAAACTGTATGAAAATATATTTGCACTGGTCTATCAACAGCACGATTTGCACAAACATTTACAATCACCTTTTTGTTTAGTAAACTATCCGTACATATTCTATCACTCTGGATTTTCAGCTCAGCGTCTTCACGACTTTGCTCTGGACGTGTACCAAAGGCGACCCTGTGTTTAACCTTAATGTCAGTTCACGGTTGTGTTACATGTACAACGGAGCCGTCACGCAGCCTGGCAAAACTGTTGTCATGCAGTGCAAGTCGTTCGTAACTGGCCGCTATCTGAGA